TCCTGGGATTGTTGATCAGAGAGCTACCTAACATAAAACTGTTCTACAGATCTAAAGAAGGCCATTCTTGTTGTCCTGTTGGCTCCAGGAATTTGGCATTATATTCGGGTAATTATATACATATATTTATACATATATGTAATTAGAATATGCCTCCACTCTGCAGTCATGAAACTTCTATGGGCAAAATGAATCCTCTGAATTTCTAATAAAACTGCAAGCTGCTGGGTTCATGACAGTAAGATGGACACTGATACCACTGTCTAAGGGAAAAGCAGACACATCATGAGTCTCTGCTGCTGTTTTGGATCATTTCAGTGGCCTAAATTGGACAGGAGATATTTGAGCAGATGTAGAACTTCAGTTGTAGCATATAACCTGCAAGTTATCAGGGAGGTTACTAGTGAATTTCACATAGTTCCAAGTTCTGATAGCTTCTGAGTAGATGTTTTCTCATTTATAATTTGAAGATTGGCACCTGAAATTTATCTCTGTACTATACTGACCACCTTTCCTGTATATTGTCATAACTACAATTACCACTGAAGTTGAAGATAGTTGCTTTTTTCTTACAATCAAATTCAATCTCTGCTAGAATACCTTATAGTAGTTCTGACATTCAGTAGACCAAACATGAGAGGAAGGCAGAAGGCTTTTTATGACTTCATTTTGCCCATGCTTACTCCTACTGAAGTAGGAGTTATGACTCAGTGGGAGAAGAGGAGGCCAATATGTAGCACTGAATGATTCATTACAAGTATTTTGGAATTCTGCAGTGGTTACCATTAAAAATTTTATAAATGTCTTTTCCTGGAGAGATGGCTTATCTGACGGCTCAGCTCTTCCAATGTGGGCTGACTCAACTTCCCCCCAACCTCCCTCAAAAATCTGGGAAACATTAACTTCAAGCAAGGTTTGTCTTCCAAATTTCTACATTCCTTTGAGACAAATTGGATTTATGATCATTTCCTAAGTTTTGAAGTGGCAAATAGAATATGTCTTCAAGGGGAACTGGGCAGTTGCTTATTATTCAAAGACCTGACAAAATTCTTGAGAACTAAGAGAATTTTAGACTTATTTTTTATTAGACTAACTTGCATACATGAGGTTCCATCTAAAAGTACACAGCCAACTTTACATTCAGAGCTTTGTAACCCTTCACAAGCTATCCTGGCAGTATTTTCCCTTATTTTTCTCATGCTATTGCTCTCCACAGACCTTGTGATATTTTCACAAAGGCGGACCAGGTTTCCAAAAGAAACTTTATCTGTCAGGAATAGAAGATGAGTCAACTGTAAAGAGTGGTAAAAACAAAAAGTTTAAGAAAAGTAATAAAATAAAAATTGCCTTTTAGTTCAGGGTGAAAGGATAACCAAAATTTTCAAAACCTGTGAATGAAACATACCCACACCAGTCTCAGTTTTTGTCTTCCTGTTGTTGTTCCACCGTATCTCTGAGGCACAGGTAAATAAGCATGCAGCTAACTATGAAGTGAGCCAAACCCTCTCCAACAGCTGTGCTGTTAAGACTGAAATTGACTAAGGAAAAAATCACCTTATGAATTAGTGAACTGATTATGGTAGTTCAATAAATCCGCTGCTAATCTACTGCCTTCAACCATTTGCATGTGTTTACTCTTATGAATTCTGATGAAAAGCAATTTTCAGGAAAGTACTCAGGGACAAGGAGTACTCACAAGAAAAAGTCAGCAACTCTTTCAGTCTACTCAAGATTGAGGACAGCTGTATGTCTTCAGCATTTTACAGCAAAAAATGGCATACAGATGCTTCCGAAACTGCAAAGATGAGAAAAAGCCAGGAAAGCCCCTGCCTTTCTTGAAAACAAGACAGAGCTTACTTTCATTGAAACTGTTTACACTGTGCTGTAGGCCAAGAACTGCAATTGAGTCGCACAAACATTCAGGCAAACTGTGGCATGTTCCTTGAGAACCCAATCAGTTTCAAAAACCCTAATTTGTGCACTGTGGTCACTGTCTGTGGCAGTCATCTCTGGTGCAGGTGCTTTTTTCAGCAGAGGAGGGGACTTTGGTCTGAACACATTGAAACAAGGTGACCACCTACCAAAACGGCTGGGCTGGGGCTGCAACAGACTGGGGGGCCACAGACTTTCTGGGCAGATGAGTGCATCTGAGCAGAGATCCTGCAGAACAGAATAGCAGCCCACACGTTTGATAGCAGGGAACTCCGGAATCTGGAATTTTCCAAGGGGCTGAGAGGAGTGTCATAGGTGCAAGTGTGCCCAGCTCGATTAATTCTTTGAGCGGGTGGCCATGAGTGAGAGGAAATCACCAGGCAGCTTAGTATTTAGGGAATGCAAGGTACTGTGCAGTGACATGGGCACACCCACAGCCCTGCCTTCAGTCCCTGTAAGTTGAAAGTAAGCAATCTCCCTTTGGCTGGGTGCTTCTTTAGAGAAGCTATGCCCCTTGTCCACAAACACTTGTTACATCCCCTGCCCAAATCTGATTTCTATGACACAGTGCTCTGAGCTCCCATTTTCCATTCACCTCTCTCAGCTTTTCTTTCTAACCGCTATAGCTTTATAGGGCAGCAAACTCACTAGGCTGATTAGTAGAGCTTTAAACTAGATTTGATGGGGGAATGGGATGTACTTCTGAGTGACAGAGAAGAGACAGGAAACTGTCATTTTAGGAAGCAGCATGGACAAACTTCAGAAATGTCCCAAAGAATTTAGGAAGGGCTCCTCTAAGAAGACGACGTGTCTGACAGCCCAGCTGAACTGTCTCTACACCAATGCACACAGTGTGGGAGATAAGCTTTTTTTTTTATTAGACAACTTGGATACATGACCTTCTGTCTGCAAATAAATAGACTGCTTTACCTGCAGAGATTTGTAAACCTTCACTCATGCTGTCCAGGCAATACTTTCCCTTATTTTTCTTGTGCTCTTGTTCATGCTGCTATGCCCACAGTATTGCACTTGAAAACCCCAATAATGTTATTTTGTCACATGGACAGTGGTGGCTGCCAGCGTGAATATTGTGTGCTTTTCCTACCCCTTGGCACTATGGCATTTTCTCACTTCAAAATGTAGATACTTGTCCTCCTGTCTCGCCAACTCACATTGGATGTATATAGGGCGAAGTCTGGCCAAGGTCTCACACCACAAGGATTCTTATGCTAATTGCCTCATGGCTTCTGCTGGAACAAGGAACTTGCAACATTATCAGACCCACTCCTGATGATAGAAATGTAGCCAAAATCTAGGTATTTCTGGTAGTCCCCTCATGGTTTTTGTATAAAAACAGCTAGAAGGACTGTTGCAGAGGTACCAAACCATGATTCACTCCCAGTAACGTTCAGTAAAGCTGTACTGTTCAATTTCCGCAGTGAGCAGTATGAAGACAACTTGGTGCACAGTAACTGACTCAGAAGAGAGCAATCACTTCCTGGCATAAACACCAATGACTTTGTAGACTAGTTTCCTAAAAAGAAATGCTTGTTCAAAACAATCTGATAAATTATTTATTTTTTTATAGGGAAAAATAAGTAGAAATGAACACTAACATGCTTTCATTCCCTGTACAAAAGACATTCTATAAAGAAGGGAAATACATTAATGGCTTAAGTTACCATAGGGAAAAATAAACCAAACAAACAGAACTCATGTGTTGTAAATGAAGAGTTTGACTATGAAAGCTTTCTACTATAATTTTCTGTAAGGCTTCTACTGAGATGAAATATGTTGATTAGCATATGAATAACTCTCTAATTCTTTTGGCAGAAAAAACAAAGTAGAAATTACATACCTTTTACTGTTCAAGATGTCTGTGATTGTGACTTCTACAGCTGGAAGAAAACAGAAAAGAGACCTTTCTTAATCATCCCTTGATGTTAATACAAAGGCAACAGGAGAAGCATCTGAAACAAACCATTTAAGTTACTATACACTTGTCAAACAAAAAGCAGTGTGACAGCATGACTTCAGTCTCTCAGAGGAAAGAGATGTTTTTGTTCGATGGTTGCTGATGTCCCGGTAAAATGCCCAACATAAAAGTAGAAAATGAAGTTTAAACATACAAATCTTTTCAATTTCTCTTTTTTTTTTTTTTCTTTTTTTTTTTTTTTTTTCCGTGCACCAATAAACCATTGTAATTAATGATACAGGAATTTACAGACAAGAAAGTAAATTGTTTCCTTTATTGTCAACATACAATGGCTATTTTCATAGTTCTGTTACATAGTTCTCTGTCCTGTTATAGGTATAGCGGTCTTCTGTGCTCTAGCTGAATGCTCTGGTTTGCCAGCAGGAACAGGCTTGGGATGCACCGTTCAAAAATGGAGTGCTGGTCCTCAGCACTGTCACTTAGATGTGGCATACATGTTACAACAGTGACCTCCTGTGGTAATTTTACTGCTTCGTGTTCTTCAGAGAACACAGAGACTGTGTTTCAAATCTGTGGCAAATGTCCACCAGTGTCCCTGTCAGGCAGAAGCAAATCTCTCCCTATCCATAGCCAATATTGAGATCATAAAAAAAAAAAAAAAGTATGCTTCACATCTATTGTTGCTGTATATGGAAAGGCATTATAATTAAAAGAACTGAGTGTTATCACACTGGGAGCCTTTTGGTGTCAGCATAGGGCTCTACAATCTATGGATACTTGCTACTTGCAAAGTTACAAAGGCAGCCAGCATTTCTGTGCAGCTGTTCATGTAGAAAACAATGTGAGCAATCCTGCGGTGACATCACTGACCATTGTGAAGTTACAGAGGGCCCTCAGCACTGAGGCAGCTTGTCCCCGCCCTTGGCCACTCTCGGTCCTGACGGCATAGCTGTTGGACAGGGTTTGGCTCACTCCTTGCGAGCTGCGTCTTTTGTGGCTTGTGCTTCGAGCTGCGTCTTTCTTTTGTCGCTGTGCTTCGAGCTGCGTCTTTTGTCGCTGTGCTTCGAGCTGCGTCTTTCTTTTGTCGCTGTGCTTCGAGCTGCGTCTTTTGTCGCTGTGCTTCGGAGAAATGGCGAAACGACAGCAAGGCAGGCGTGGGGACTGGTAAGGATATGGTTCCTTCCCAAGTTTTAAACATCTGTTGCTCCGTAGTCGTCTTCTGCACTGTACAGATACGGCCTGCTTCACCGTTCTTCACCACGCTTCTCCTTCTTTGTAGGCAACCTAAGGCTTGGAAGACAGTTTCCCTGCTGCTGTTCACCGTGACTGTGATGTCCTTCGGTGAGTCTCAGTAGAGCTCTGATTTGAGGATGCTTCTTTCGGAAGCCTCCAACAATTTGTTCTGCCCAGGGATAGGGGAGTGGGCAGCCCAAGGCAGAACATTTATAGAGGTGATTTATGGAGAGCTTTGTGGAATTCCTGGCAGGTGTTTACTGCGTTGGAAGTCTTGCTGGAGGCTCAAGGGCAGTGGAAAAAAAGACTTCACGGTAAGAAAAGAATCTCCCTTTGGCTGGACTCTTCTCTAGAGGAGCTCTGCCCCTTGTCCATGACCACTTGTTACCCGAGTCCAACTTCTGTGACCAATGCCCCGAGTTTCTCCCCTTCCCCATTCGAGCTGCTATCTCTCCATGTCCGTTAGTTCCCCCAAAGTTAGCCAGGAAGCCAGGAAGCAGCTTCTCGGTCGGGAGCTCTTGGAGCTTGCTAACCAGTATTGTCAACTCTCTATTAAACCTCGGTTACCCTGTCGTCACGCGGAGTGAGGCTCGTTCTCTGCCTCACATCTCACGGCTTGTGAGAAGACAGCTGTGTGCGCTCTCTCCATCAATTACCTGCTGTCTCTAGGCTGGTGGGTGATGATCTGGAAATGCTGAGGGTGGAACAAGAGCTCAAGAAGATCCAGCAGCAGCTTCGTTTCCTGCAATGGGGAGTAAAGGACATCACCCTGCGTGCTCTCCACGAGGCCCTGAAGAGAACTGAGCTCCCAGGCTTTACCGGCGAGGTAAGAGGACATTGCAAAAAGCTCTGCTGAGAGAGTTCTTTCCCCACTGTGGCATTATATCTCGCTAGCGTTCCCTGTCACAGACAGCTAAAAGGCTTGTCCAGCAGGAAGAAATGCTGGTGCATCACCATCGGTCCTTTTCTCTGTTGCTCCGGAGCTCTTGTGGGGGTAAGGAATGAGCTCTGATGGGAATTTCAGATGCCTTAGTTGTTTCTTGCTCTCTGTCAGTCCTTCCCTGCACCTTCTGCTGTGCATGAGGTGGCAGGTTCCCCTGGAAGACCTGTAAGCCAGCACCCTGAGTTGAGCCCGGCTGCCCTGGGTGCCTGGGGCCTGTGCAGATGCACAGGAGACGCTGTGTTTCAGCCTCCCCGTGGGGCATCCAGTCTGAAGGCTGTTCTGGTTTCAGAGCCCTTGCTCCGTGGACACCGTCTCTTTTGGTGGCTTGAGCTCGCACGGCCCCAGGTCTGCCCGAAGCCTGAGCTGACGGTGATTCCCGTGATGGGAATCTCAAAGGCCATGTCAGCCCGAGGCCTGGCAGGCATTAGTTCCTTCTGCGTTTTGCCTTTCTTCCCCATTGCAGTAGGCAAGCTCTGTCTTCTGCTTTAAGTTAACTCTCTGTGTGTGGCTGGCCTGCAGCAGTTGTGGTGACCTCTGGGCAATCCCTGCCTCGTGCCTGACTCGAGCCCCATCTCCTGGCCAGCAGGACTGTCAGCGCAGCCTGCCTGTCATGGGGCATCTCGACAGGAAAAGCCCATTCGTGCCGCATCCGTGTCCAGTGCGCTGGAGTGAGCAGCCTCTCTGTTCCCATGCCAGATGGTCATAGTAGAGCTCTGGAGGTTCGCAGACAACTCCCAGGCAGTGTGAATTACATCCAAGTGGAGCAGCCGAGTTTGCTTTGGCAGGCTTTGTAGGGGAGCTGGGAGGCAACTCTTTTCCCTTTTCTTTTCCTTCTGACGAGTGCTCTCCTTTGTCTTCCTTCCCAGGCTGTTCAAGAGATGATCAATCAAGTCCTGGAGAAGCTGGAGGAAAGCCCATTCCAGATGCGTAATTATGCCAGCAAAACTTCAGGTGCCGTTAAGCTGTAGAAACAACCAGACCACAGATGGTGGTTCCAAAGGGCGTCTTGTCCAGTTTGACAGGATGGGCATTTGGGCAGGGTAGGGGAGAAGGGGTGAGGAGTGAATGGCCACCGTGTGCCCTGAGAATGTGCTTGCTGAGAGAGCCTTCAACGGGCTGGAGCACATCTGAAAAGTGCTACTCCTACTTGGTGTTGTTTCTCACGTGACTGCTCAGCTGGCTGTCAGTTTATGTGGCCCCTTAGGATAGCTGAGCGAGTCCCTGCATTGTGTTGCAGAGGGATACGGCAGGTGAGAACGAGGGGAATATCACTGTTGGGGATGTATGGCTGCCTTTGAAACTCTTTTGAAGAGGACAGTGCAAAGGCAGCCGGCATTTCTGTGCAGTTGTTCATGTGGAAAACAGAGTCAGCAGCCCTTGGTTCCTCCTGGCCTTGCTTGACCACTGTGCCCGTGTTTTTATTTGCAGGCGCCGCTATCGTTCGTTCCAAGACTTCTCCCTCCTGGATTGGAAGCGGGAAAGCCTTCTGGCACTCGTTGCTGCTGACACCATATATGAGGCCTCCTGAGATTATTCTTGAGGTAAGAACAGTGTGAAACAGAGGAAGAACGGTGTGGGGCAGAGGGGGCCAAACGCCCTGCTGAGGGTTGCCTTTACCCTTGTCCTCACCCCTTCTTGCGAGGACCTACTCCCCTCTTGTGTATCCCGGCAGAGAATTTCTTCTGTCAGACTGCCCCAGGTCCTCTGTGGAAGCTTCTGCCAGGCTAGCTTGCTTGTCTTCCCAGCCATTGTGGAGCTGTCTGGCCGGCACTGAAGGGGAGCCCATAAGGTGCCACGAGAGATCTGGGCTGCGAGAACGCTGGGGCTCTTAATGAACCCCAGAGGGCATGGAAGGCGTGCACTGCAGGAGGGCCCCATGTTGTGTTTGCCAGCCCATCCTGGCACTGCTCCTGAGCTACCTGCACAAGTCAGAGCCCTGGCTGGTGCCGGGGGAAGGGGGTGGGTGGATGAGAGGGAGCGATTGCCTCCCCTTGCAGGAAAGGCTCGTGCAGGTGGGCCCTTCTTTGCCCCGGGCAGGTGCCTTTCAGCCACAGCAGCCCCTCTTTATTTTTTCAAGCTGCCCCACAAAAGAAGGAGCTCAAGAGCTTCTGCAGGTTGTGCACCCAGCTCACCGCCATGCCCGTATGCCTGTGCTTTGGAGCAGAGCTGGTGGGCCAGTACACCTGCAGAGCCCCTGATGCTGCAGCAGGATTTTCAGCCAGGACGCTCTTTTGCACATGAACGCTGTTTCTTCTCTTTTCAGCCTGACAATCAGCCAGGTAACTGCTGGCCCTTCCCAGGAAGCCAAGGGCACGTCCTCATCAAGTTGCCCAGGGCCATCTTTCCCACGGCAGTTACGTTAAACCATGGAGTTCCAGCAACGGCCTACTGTGCAGACAGCACCTCCAGTGCTCCTAAGGACTTTGCTGTCTATGTAAGTGATTCCTCTGGGTTGTGGCGGTAGTTTTGCATAGCGTTTGACGTGGAGGGTGGTTGCAGATCCAAGAGGGCTGCTGCGTGCAGTTCTTCCCTGCACAGGGCAAGAAACAAGCTCCTCAGAGTTGCTCCATTTCCACAGCGTTCCTTTTTTGTCCAAGGTAGCACAGCAAAGAAGGTTTCCCGCTCTTGGGGCGAGTTGGTAGTTTGAGAGGCAGAGTGGATGGTCCTAGACCACCTTTGCTTCGGAAAGCCCTGTGGGGCTTTGTGATCCTCTTACAGCAGCGCATCCCACTGTTCTGTTTTCTCCACTCCTGTCTTCCTGTAGGGCCTGCAGGAAGAAGGTGACGAGGAAGGAACTTTGCTAGGAGAGTTCACCTTCACGCCAGGCCAGGATCCCAGTCAGACCTTCCAGCTGCAGGTAAGGTTACAAAGAGGGATGTGAAGCATGGGAGAGGGGAACCGCGGTTGGCTGGGGAAAAGCTTCCAAGCCTGAGGCGTATGAGGGCCCTCTTGCATTTCTGCTGCTGCCTCTATACTGCCTGCATATGCCCGGACCGCTGGGCTGTTTCTGTTTCCTTCTGGCTTTTAAGCTGCAGAGCTGCTTCAGCTTATAGCACCGCTAAGCTCCAGCTACACTTGCAGCAGAAATTGCCATAACCAAGTGGCTTCCAATTGCACACAAGCGGCTGCCTCACGTAGGGTGCAGTACTGTTGGCGGGCTACTTTCACACTGGGGATGTGTGGCTTTCCAAGGATTTTGCCGTTGCCAGTAACGGGCAGCATCAGGGAGGCCATTCTGATGGGTGACATTCTAGAGAAAGCAATGAGACTTACGACTCCTGTGTTCTTCTGTGTGAGAACACACACTCAAAGCAAGTGCAAAGAACTTGGCTGTGTATTTGCTGCAGCTTTTGGTAGCTGTTTATTTCTTTAAAACTCACGTGGCCAAAGAGGTGGAGCAGGGTAAGAAATGTCTTGATTGCGCTATGGCAGCTTATCAGCGTGTCAGAAGACCTAGCAAGGCAGCCTGAAGTAGGATTTTGCGTGTGTCACTCCTGCATTGTCAGTGGCCAAAGAGGAGAGAGGAAAACACAGTTCATTTCTTTTTCTCATTGCAGAACGAGCACTCCGGGTTCATCAATTACATCAAGCTGCGAGTGCTGAGCAACTGGGGCCACCCGGACTACACGTGTGTGTATCAGTTCAGGCTCCACGGCAATCCAGCCCCTGACGGTGAAGCTAAGGGAAAGCCACTTGGTTCACCTTTCGTGGAGGAGTCTCCAGATCTGAGCCCGTGACAGGGGCACAAACCCAGGGGACGAAAAGAGAGTGGCAACAAAAATTACCCTACCTTCTAACAGCGCGGCACATCCGGCCCGGCTCTGTGACTAACAAGGCAAGGCATGATGTGGGCCGTGCGCTCCAGGAGAGGGGGAAGGGAGACAACACGTGTGTCTGACAACAAAGAAAACCAACCAACAACAAAAACAAAATCAACGGCAACTGTCTGAGGAGGAGCTGAATTTACTGAATCCAACAAAATCAAACAAAATGAGGGAGACGGAAGTATCCAAAATACAAGATCTTATGTTAGAAGACTGCAGGGGAAGCACGTGCTTTTCTCCGTGGCAAACCAAGAGTGGGAAGAAGAGGCTGGTGTCCTGCCAGTAGCTCCACCTTTCTTCCTCTGCGCGCTAGGTCCTTGGGAATGCCGCTCCTCCCCTCCCATCTGAGGACCCCACGTGCCCATGAATGGCAGTTCAAGGAACCAGAACATTAACTCTTTAACTCCCACTATTTTACGTGATCTTCTGAGGTGGAATATCAGCAACAAAAATCACAAAGCCACAACGTTAACATCAAATATAACATCAATTCATTCAACTTTTCCCATGTTGAGTCTCTTTTGTCCGTCAGAGTAACTGTTAAGAGATCTCCCTATTGTCTATCTCGCTCCATAAGCTTTTTCATTCCCTTTTCTCCTGCTCTTCTGTTGGGGAGGAGGAGCGGCTGGTTGGGAGTTGGCAAAGTGATCCCAAGATACTGCATTTTCCAATCCCTGTTGAAGCACGGATGGGAGTCAGCAGGAACTGCTGCCCCCTTGGACTTCCAGAGGGCAGACCTTGGCCTCCTTTGGACCGTGGTTGAGAAGGTCCCTTGGGAGGCCGTTCTGGAGCGCACAGGAGCCCGGGAAGGCTGGGCATACTGTTATAGAAGTTATTTTAAAAGTGCAGGAGCTGACCGTCACCGAGTCATGGAAGACAAGTTGACGGGCAAGGAAGCCGGTCAGGCTGAACAGAGACCTTTGGCTGGAATTCGGGAACAAAAGTAAAGTTTTTGGTATTTGAAGAATGGGCAAGCAACTTATGACAATTACGAGTACGTAGTGAAGCCGTGCAGGGAGAAAATTAGAAAAGCCAAAGGCCAGCTAGAACTGAACTTGGCCGCTAAGGTGAAGGACAACAGTAAATATTTCTGTAAATACATCAGCAGCGAGTGGAAGGCTAGGGAGAGTCTCCATCCCCTGCTGGATGATGCTGAGGGCAACGTGGTGACCAAGGGTCAGGATAAGGCTGAGGTACTTGTTCTGTATGATTTACAAACGTACAGATAGCAGAGTGGCGTGGTTAGGATGGTATTATACGGGTTTTATCATTAGAAAGATAATCGTGCTGGAAAGGGAGAATCAAAAATTAGACGCTCAGCCGTGGCCTAGGCTCGCAGTAGAAAACTCCAAAGGGAGGGATCTCCGGAAAGAGATCCTTCCCCAGCGGCAGTCAGCCCTCAAATGGGGTCTGGGAGAGGTGGAGCCAGGCTGCACCCCTCCGGGTCACACAGTTGAATTGCCTCCACCCGTGCTCCCGTGGCTGAGTCAGTCCTTGCCTCAGGCGATCAATCAGTGGTTCAGGCTGTGACTCAGCAGCTCCCGTACACCTTCTTTGCCTCAGTCCTTAATAGTAAGACTAGTTACTCCCTGGGCACACAGCCCCTTGTGCCGGTAGGTAGGGATGGGGAACAGAATAGGCCCTGCACAATCCACGATGAGATGGTTTGGGACCTGCTCTGAAAGCTGGGTGCTCACAAGTCCGTGGGGCAAGATGGACTGCGTCCTAGGGTGCTGAGGGAGTTGGCGGATGTGGTTGCCGAGCCACTCTCCACCCTCTTTCGGCAGTCCTGGCTAACTGGAAACGTCCCGTTGGACTGGCAAAACACCCATCTTCAAGAAGGGCTGGAAAGGTGATCCTGATAGCTACAGACCTGTAGTCTCACCTCGGTGCCAGGGAAGGCCATGAAATGGATCGTCTCGGGAGGCCTCACGGACCAGTTAATGGTAAACTGGGGGATGAGGCCCAATCAGCATGGCTTTATGAATGGTAGATCCTGTCTGACATACCTGACTTCATTCTATGACAAGGTAAGGCACTCAATGGATGAAGGTATGGCTGTCAATGTGGTCTGCCTTTGGCACCCTCCCCCACAACATTCTTGTGGAGAGGCGGCTGCCAACGGTTTGGATGGGCGTACGCTCCGCTGGGTGAAACGCCGGGCCCAAAGAGCTGTGGTCAGTGGAGTTAAGTGCAGTTGGCGGCCAGTCCAGAGTGGTGTCCTCCAGGGCTCGGTACTGAGGCCGCTTCTGTTTGACATCTTTATTAACGATCTTGATGAGGGAATTGAGTGCACCCTCAGTGGGTTTGCGGATGACTCCAAGTTGGGAGGGAGCGTTGCTCTGCCAGAGGGGGGAAAAGGCACTACAGAGGGACCTGGGTCGCTGGGCCGCGGTAAACTCTATGAGTTTCCATAGGGCCAGGTGTCGGGTCCTGCATTTTGGTCACAACAGCCCCAGGCAACCCTACGGGCTTGGGGAGGGGTGGCTGGAAAGCTGCCTGACAGAAAAGGACTTGGTGTACTGATGGACAGTCAGCTGACTATGAGGCAGCAGGGTGCTCAGGCGGCCAAGAAGGCCAGTGGGATCCTGGGTTGCCTTCCAAAGAGCGTGGCCAGCAGGTCAAGGGAGGTGATCCTCCCCCTCTCCCCTGCCCTGGTGAGGCCGCATCTGGAGTACCGTGTCCTGTCCCGGGCTCCTCAGCGCAAGAAAGACAGGAAACTTGTAGAGAGTGTGGAGCGGAGTGCTGGAAGGATGTGGAGTGTGCCCTCCAGGAGGAGGTTGAGAGGTTCAGGAGTATCAGAAAGCGTGAGCGGGAGGCAGGCTTGTGGTGTAAGCCTCTGAGAGGTAGACGTGCTGGCCCTTCCCACAAAGACAGGGACATGTCTTCATCAAGTTGCTTGTGGCCATCTTTCCCACAGCAGTTATGATAAACCACTGAAATTCCAGCAACAGCGTACCATGCAGACAGCATCTCTAGTGCTCTGGGTTCATCAGTAACATAAGGCTGCAACTGCTGAGCAACCAGGGCCACCCAGAGTACACCTATGTGTATCATGAAGGTACTCCACCATGACAGTAATGCTAGGAGAAAGCTATCTGGTTTACTTCAGAATAAATAACTTTTCCTATGTGGAGCCTCTTTAGTCCATCTGAGTAATTGTTAAGAGAAAAGAGAACAAGTACTTATGCTGGGAATACCAAGCATTTGTGCTTGTCCTTATGTTTCCAGGCTTCAGGAGAATTAAATAATCATTTAGGTTGCAAAAGACGTTCAAGATCACTGAGCCCAATTGTGTGCTTCTGTATTTTTGTTACTTAGCTGGGGCCAACCTGGTCCTCTGGCATGCAAGTCATTGATTCCAGTGTACACAGCTACTTACTGAAGCCATTCAGTACTCCATGCTGGCTTTTTCTTTTGTCCTGTGATTCCCCAGACTGAACTCAGAGTTTGAGGTGGGGCCGCACCAGTGCAGTGTACTGATTTGAAGAAATCTATGTGTATAAACTTAACAGCAGCACTTTGTTACTGTTAAGCAAGGTATTCATTATTGGCAGAGCTGGGATGGCATTGGGATAACTCTCCAAGAACGGTCACTGGCTGATTGTTCACGAACAGGTTATGTTTTCAAATGTATTAGATATTCATTATGTTCCCAAATTTGTTATCCTATCCACTCCCAGCGATTTCCCAACAGACATGGCCTTTTTGGCTATCTCTGATGTCATCTAGCTTTCTAACACCATAATGGTCCATTGTTGGTCTACCACTGCCAGCCCTTTAGTGGGTATCAGGGGTCTTTTACTTTCTCCCAACACTCCTTTTGTCCCAAAGATTGCTGTGGAACGCAAGGAAAACCAGGGAAGTCTCTGCACACACAGATAAAGAAGACGAAGGGGAATGTCTTGATGCTAGCTGTCACACTGTGGGCTAATTCCACCTGGCGTGTGGTTCCCATAGGGATTCCACCAAACTGTCGCACAGCTTTTCCACTGTTGTACGCTCACAACGTGCCTCCCCTTCTACAGGGTGCCTCCTCCGCCCTGCTGGCACTGCTGGGCCTGACGCAGCCTAGGCTACGGCTAGCATTCCTGGCTGTCTGGGCGCACTGCTGACTGATGCTCAACGTGCTGTCCAACGAGATGCCAAGCCGCTTTCAGCGGAGCCGCTCTCCATCAGATAATATGGCAGCCTCGGGCTGCGGGGCGGCATTGGACCGTTGGTGCCCGCCTCTGCTGGGCGGTGCGCCGTTGGCTTTGGAGCCGCCGCGTTGCTAAGGGGACGGGAAGCGGCGGCGACAGCGGTTGCAGCGAGCTGACAGCGGACAGCCCGGCCCGAGCGTTTCTACTGCCCTGAAGCTCTCAGCACTATAAACCATAGGTGAGTCCCAGAATTTAGCCTGTTCAATTGGGATGGTTTATCCGTGTTACAGAAGTTTTTGAATCTGTTGTTGGCATTTCGCCTTGGAAGTTTATTGCTTTGCAGTATGCCCTTCAATTCAAGCACTTAGAAGAAGGAGAGTCAGGTGAGCAGTAATACAGCAAATTAAAAAAGAATGAGGGCTCTGACAGAATTAGGTAGAGAAGGTTCTGACAGACTGTCATCCGAAATCTGGGGAGAAAACTCTGACTCCAACATGGTGCTAGAAAGTGGTGTTCCTTTATTCCTCATTGTACTGGGCGACTTGAGCAGCAAGCATGCTCTTTCGGAGCTCAGGTTCTATATTTAAACAGTTAAGACATATGCACGCAGTACATAGGTCTACATATTCATCCTTTTGTCCAAGGACTCATTAATATCTATGCTAATGTCCCTTTGGACATGCTCAATAGAACTGGGCTGGTCGAGTGCCTATCTACTTCTTCCCCATTTTCCATCATCAGCACCATCAATGAGGGCTATGGCTAACTTTGAGCCACTTCTCCCCAGCTTGGAAAATTTTCCATTGCTTATTAGGCTATAACCACTTTTAAAACAACAAATGTGGAATCCAAGGAAGACGTTCTTGCAGCTACTGCGTGCAAAAGATGAAAGTATTCTATTATGGCTTCTTGTGAGGCAAAATCATTGAGGTGAAGGTTAAAAGTATTCTGTTATGTCCACAGTGCAAAATTACTGAGGAAAACAAGACTATGCACCCACTAAAATTGAAATGGAAAGTTTTAGAACTGTAACTGACAGATTCCTTTTGTTAACAAATATATTGCTTCTTAAACTGATGTACTATTGCTGAACAAACCAACCAATATCAAGACCAATTACTGTAGTGAAATAAAACACTGTAATGATTCTTCGCCCCTAATGCAAGGAAAATAAGTTCTTACAGGCAATCTTTTTCCTAGGCACATGTCAGCATGATGATTATGTACTAGCACCTGAGGAAGATACCTGCCTTAAGACAGTGTGGTACACTTACGTAACTCTATTTGGAGTCATCTCAGTAAGTTTCCTGTGTTTCTTAGCACAATTCCTTAGAGTGTCTTTTTCTTCCCTGTCTGC